CCCCCCCCCCCCCTCCTCCTCCTCCTCCTCCCCCCTTCTAGCACTGATGATGTTCCCTAGTTGGGTCAGGAAACGTCTGCAAGGAAACCACCCAGCTCAGAGAGCACCAAGGACCCCACAGTCCTTTTCTCCTCCTCTTCCTCCTCCTCCTCCTCCTCTCTAGCACTGATGATGTTCCCTGGTTGGGTCATGAAATGTCTGCAAGGAAACCACCCAGCTCAGAGACACCCCCCTCCCGAGGACCCCACAGTCCTTTTTTCCTCCAACTCCTTCTCCTCCTCCTTGCCCCCCTCCTTCCTTCACTCTGCAAAACCCCCTCCCTTCTAGCACAGATGATGTTCCCTAGTGGGATCATAAAACATCTGCAAGAAAACCACCCAGCTCTGAGAGCACCAAGGACCCCACAGTCCTCTTCCTCCCCTTTTTTTCTCCTTAGAAGAATAGAATATAGAATAGAATAATAACTTATTGTCGCTTTGAATGTACACTAACCGGCATACGTTAAAATGAAATTTCATTACATACAGCTGTCAAAGGGTCACCACGTCCCAATATACACTACATAAATATGACAAAAATAAATGCAGAATTATGCATATACCCACGTATATGACTCAGAGAAACAACAGTCTAGTTGGGGTTATGTATACATGTGCATGGCAAGAAAAATCTCTTTTTCATCTCCTCATGAATAGAATAGTATAGAGCTGGAAGGGACCTTGGAGGTCTTCTAGTCCAGCCCCCCACTCAAGCAGGAGAACTATATCGTCTCAGACAGGTGATTACCCAGTCTCTTCTTAAAAACCTCCAGTGATGGAGCGCCCACGATTTCTGGTGGCAAGCTGTTCCGCTGGTTGATTGTCCTCACTGTCAGGAAGTTTCTCCTTAGTTCCAGATTGCTTCTGTCTTTGGTCAGTTTCCAACCGTTGTTTCTCGTCCTGCCCTCTGGTGCCTTTCTAGCACTAATGATATTACCTAATTTGGGTAATGAAATAACTGCAAGAAAACATCACCAAGCTCAAATACAATGGCTGAAATGTATCCAGGGTTTGCTAGCAACCAAACCTGCATAATACAGCTGCACTCTCTACGCCTGGAAATTCGAATAGCTTTCAGAAAGCCAGTCAAAACAGACTCCTTGGGAAAAGGCATTTGGTTTCTGAACCTCATTTTCTTGAGTTCACAGGGAATGTTTAACGGTTTTAAGCCTTCTGTTTGCAAACATGCTGCAAGGAATCCAGGCAGGGTCAGCAGGATGCAAATTCTGGAATCTTTCCTTCCGCCAGGGAATGGGACCGAGGCCGGGAACGCCGGAGCCGAGGGGAATACCGAGATTACGACCGGAGCAGACGGGAGCGGTTCTCCCCCCCTCGTCATGAGCTGAGTCCGCCACAGAAACGCATGAGGCGGGATTGGTGGGTTCTCTTGCTGTGTCTTCTGGCGCTGTCTTGTATTAGGCTGAACACCGCACTGGCCACGGCAGACGCCCTCCACAAGTGGGGCAAAACACCGTCACCGAATTGTGGCTGTGGGGCTAACTATCTAACACATGGTGACAGGGCGTCAAACAGAGCCCATAATGCAGATTTTGCTGGTTTCCCGGCTGCAACGGATGAAGTAAAAAATATTTGCAACTTAATGCATACGTCTGCAATCTTCCTGTTCAGGTTTCAGATTTTATATTGTGAGTTTTGTGTTTTACCCCGTCTTCCTTTTTCCTGAAATATGACGGGAATGTGCCCTACAATAAGCAAATAATTTGTATTAGGTGGGCTTTGGGGGTCTTCTCTCCCCGCAGGGGTTGTACAAGGGAGCTGAGGCTCTCTTGGGAAAGGGGGGTGCTTTTTGAGAATGCACAAAAGGATTTGTTTTTTCATTCTCCAGGGACGAGCACACAGCAGACCCCTATCACACTGGCTATGAGATGCCTTACAGTGGGGTCTCCACCGGCCCATCCTACGGGCCTCCCCAGCCTTGGGCACACCCCGAAATGCATGTGACACAGCACCACATCCTCCCCATCCAAGCCAGGTAAGCAGATACTTGGGGGGGGGGGGCCCTTCTCTGTCTGCTGTTTCTTTTCGTAAAGTAACCCGTTATTTGTTTTGTTTTTTGTCTGTTCGCCTATATCTGTCTATCTATCTTTCTATCTATCTATCTCTATATCTATCTACATTTATCTATTTTCTATGTATCTCTCACATCTATCTAATCTATATCTATATCTAGTTATTTATCTATATATATATCTATTACTTAAAATCCTAAAAACCGAAAGTTGACTCCTGAGTAAATTCATTTCGGGAACCCCAAACTGTGAGACCACCAGGAGGTTGTTAAAACCATTAAAAAGTTTTACTAAAATTTTTAAAAACACCTAGCTTTCGCCGGCTTCCTGCCAGCATCATCAGGGTGGTTTAACAGTCGATGGGATGGCTACTTATAGGAGTGGTGCCTTTTGCACCCGACTCCTAGACCTCGTGATTGGGCCCAACCGATCCTCCTGCATTCGGCTCCTAGTTATCATATCACCAGCTGACACGTCCCTGCCTCTCTCCTCCCCACCTTTGCTCTTTTTCTTGCTTGTTCGTGTGCTAGGGGTGGGATTCAATCCTGCGCCCAGGGTACCCCCTTGTTGTCCATTACCCCCATCTCCCTTCCTAACCCTACGTGTCCCAACTTCCTTCCCCTTCCTCTCATTCCCAGTGACCTTCTCTACCCCCTCATTCATGCCGTGTACGTCAGCCACACTCTCCTTCCCCCTCCTCTCGTTTCCAACTTTCTCCACAGCCATCTCCTTCAGCGCGCATCCCTTCCCACACACGCGCATTCCAGCCTCCTCCTTCCCCCTCTTCTCGTTTCCCATTCCCTCCTCAACCGTCTCATTCCTGTCAAGCGTCTGTTTGGCTGTTTCTCCTACGTAGTTGGCAGGGCAGTCTCTGCAGTTGATTTTATAGACGACACGTTGTTGATATAGGGGAGGGTGACACGGGTCATCTGGGTTGTAGGCTCATCGGTACCGGGTCTGATACGAGGTCCACCTGGTCTACTGTGGCGTCTGATGAATCCCATGGGGTACCCGTTGCGCCTACACACCTTCACTAGATGTTTCCTCCCCTCTGCGCGGGCCCTAGCCGTGCTGCAATGCGAGTCAGCCCTCTTAAAGAGCGTCCTGACGCAGCTGACCTTGTGGGGCACCGGATGATTGCTATCATAGTGCAGAATCCTATCGGTGTGAGTGGGTTTGCGGTAAACCTTGGTTCTCAAAGTACCATCACGCTGGCGTTGCACCAGAACGTCTAGGAACGCCAGCTGGCCCTCAGTGAACCGCAAATCCACAAACACCGAATTAAGAGCCTCCACAAAGGCAGCCTTTTTGTTCTTCTTGACGACAGTCCACGTAGCGGGCCCAGAACTTGGGACGGCTGGTGATATGATAACTAGCGGGCCCAGAACTTGTCAGCTGGTGATATGATAACTAGGAGCCGAATGCAGGAGGATCGGTTGGGCCCAATCACGAGGTCTAGGAGTCGGGTGCAAAAGGCACCACTCCTATAAGTAGCCATCCCATCGACTGTTAAACCACCCTGATGATGCTGGCAGGAAGCCGGCGAAAGCTAGGTGTTTTTAAAAATTTTAGTAAAACTTTTTAATGGTTTTAACAACCTCCTGGTGGTCTCACAGTTTGTGGTTCCCGAAATATATATCTATATATCTATCTACTATATATATATCTATATATCTACATCTATCTATTTATCTCTATATCTATTCTCATCTCTATCTGTCTGGCTATCATTTATGTCTGTCTGTCTATCTACATTTATCTATCTTCTATGTATCTATCTCATATCTATCTAATCTATATCTATATGTAGTTGTTTATATCTCTCATCTCTATCATCTGTCTATCATATCTGTCTGTCTATGTACATTTATCTACTATGTCTATGTACATTTATCTACTATGTATCTATCTCATCTATCTAATCTATATATACGTATATATATCTAGTTATTTGTAGGTCTTTGGATATCTAGTTATTTATATCTATCTACTATATATTTTTATATATCTATATCTCTATATCTATCTACATCTATCTTTATCTCTATATCTATCTATCTCTCATCTCTATCTATCATCTGTCTATCTGTCTACCTATCTGCCATCTTTATTATTTTACAAATAACTCAAGGCAACAAACATATCTAACAAGCCTGCTTTCCCTGCACCAACCCTGTGAGGTGGGTGGGGCTGAGAGAGAGGGACTGACCCAGAGTCACCCAGCTGGCTTTCATGCCTAAGGTGGGATTAGAACTCGCCATCTCCTAGCGATTGGCCCAAGGTCACCCAAGTCAGCTTACCTGCCTGAGGCAGGACTAGAACTCACCATCTCCTGGTTTTTAGTTTGGTACTTTAATCGCTGAACCCAATAGCAGGGGTCTCCACACTTAGCCACTTTAAGACTTGTGGACTTCAACTCCCAGAATTCCTCAGCCAGCCCTCAAGTCCTATACCCCTGGTGTATAGACACCGTTTTAATTTTCTCAGCGTTTCTCTTGCTTTGATGCTTTTCATCTTCCCTCCACCGTGTCCGCTTTCAACTTAACCTGTGCGTTCTTGGCCCCTGAAACGACGGAAAGAGAGGGGTGGTCCCACGCTGACCCCTGTTCTTTCTCCCCCCCCTCCAGGCTGGGGAATATTGCCGAAGTGGATTTGGGCATCGCCCCGCCCGTCATGAAGAATTTTAAGGAGTTCCTCCTCTCCTTGGAGGACTCCGTGGACGAGACGGAAGCCGTCAAGCGCTACAACGACTACAAGCTGGATTTCCGCCGCCAGCAGATGCAGAATTTTTTCGTGGCCCACAAGGACGAAGAGTGGTACGTGTCTCGTGGGCTGGGCTGCCCGCCTCGGAGGGGGGGAGGGAGGGCGCTTTCCCGGGCACTGCCGGTTCAGGACGGGCAATAAGGCAAGTGTGCCGGGCATTGGTTGCTTCCGGGTTTAGACACCGGCTCTTTAACCAGGTTAAAGAAATTGTTTATTTTGTTTGTTTATTTAGAAATGCTTTGTTTGTTTATTTCCTGGGCTTCAGCGCCACACCCATCAGTAGTACCCAGGCAATCCTCATCTTACGACTGCAGTTGAGCCCGTTTCTGTTGCTAAGAGAGAGAGAGAAGCCGTCCGTTTGCCCCACCCGAGGCCTTGCTGAGTTGGCAGGCGAAGCAAACCAGGCTGGGTCTTGGCTACCCAGCCTCTTCCAGCTGCCAAAAGATACAGGGGTTCCCCCCCCCTTTTTGGGGGGGGGCAATGGGGAAAGAGTTGCTATGAACTCCCGGCAAATCACGAGTCCCTGTGATTTCGTCAGCGAGGTTTCCGAAAGGGCCGGCTCCTTCCGAGGGCTGAGCGGGAGTGACTGGCCCAGGCTCACCCAGCTGGCTTTGTGCCTAAGGTGGCACTTGAACTCGCCGTCTCTCCGGGTTCGGGTCTGCTGTCTTAACCACAATACTAGTCCGGCTTGATGGACGAGGTGGCTCGCCCGTATGCAGGCAGTCCCTGACGTACGACCACGGCTGAGCCCCAGATTCATGTAGCTAAGCGAGACATTTGTTAAGCGAATTTTCCCCGTTTTACGACCTTCCTTAACCTAGTTGTTAAGTGAACTTGGCTTCCCCCTTGACTTCGCTGGTCAGGCGGTCACAGAAGAGGATCACGTGACCCCTCTGGGACAATGCGGCCGTCATAAGTATTTCGATCACGCGGCCCGGGGGACGGCCGCGACGGTCATAAGTGTGAAAAACATCACTGGAGGTTTTTAAGAAGAGACTGGACTAGGCAACTTTGGCTCTTTTATGACTCGTGGACTTCAACTCCCAGAATTCCTGAGCCAGCATGGGGGAACTATAGCCCCCTCATGGCTTGTGGACTTCAACTCCCAGAATTCCTGAGCCAGCATGGGGGAACTATAGCCCCCTCATGGCTTGTGGACTTCAACTCCCAGAATTCCTGAGCCGGCATGGCTCAGCTTGGAAACCTCTCCTTTTCCCCTCAGCGTGGCTGGCTCAGGAATTCTGGGAGTTGAAGTCCACCAGTCATAAAAGAGCCAAGGTTGCAGACAATCACCTGTCTGAGATGGTATAGGTTCTCCTGTCTGAGCAGGGGGCTGGACTAGCAGACCTCCAAGGTCCCTTCCAGCTTCTATTCCAGTGCAGTTGTAACTTGGAACGGTCACTAAACGGATAGTCGTAAGTCAAGGACTGCCCGTATCTCATTTACCGTTCCTGAATAATTTGTCCCGGCATCCCGATTGTAGTCACAGAATTAAAAAAGGATTCCTCTCGGCGCATTCATAGCTGGGGAAGAACGGGGAGAGTTGCTAACTAGGATCGCCTTGAATGGCCGTTCTGCTCCTCCAGGAAAGGGAGGTGCTAGAACTCCCGGAACCCGGCTCCACACACCCTCCGTGCCCCACACCAAAAAGAGGGCCGGTGCTCGCAAGGAATGTGATAGAATTAACGCTCTGTCAATCCTTGACAGCACCGGGGCCTCTAGCCGGGTCACTAAGGTGGGGTGTCCCCGATGGGGGTCCCCAAATCCTTTTTCTCAGTTCAGAACCAGGGTTAGGCCCACGACGGGCGTTCAGAGCACCGGGTTCCTTCGGCTCGTCCTGCCGACGTTCCAGGGAAAAATTAAAAGAGGCCTCTTGTTTTCCAGCCCAAAGCACGGGTCAAGCCTTCCAGCAGCTGGCTTCTGCAGCCGTTTCCTCCTCGGAAGCTCCTGGGGTCACTTGGGGGGGCCGGGAGGGACCGCAGAGGACACCTCAGGCTGGGAAACAACAGGCCAGAATTTCATGTTTTTCCATCCCTGGGAAAACCTCACGCCTTGGGGGGTAGAAGCGAACCTTGCAGGCCGCGGAAGGAGGGGGGGGCAAGAGGGTATTTATGGGGATGGGCAAGGCCTCCCCCCTCCCCCAATTTAGAGGGTCCTTTCCCCTGGAAGTGGCACAAGAGAAGGCCTGGAGGATGGACGCCGTTTCTCCGCATTCTGGGGCGGGCGGGGGGGGGATCTGATGTACCTGTGTCTCTCCTGGTTTTAACCGCTTTTTATTTCCTTGATAGTATTTTTTTTTTAATTTCCTTTTTGTTTTGGATGTTAACTGTAATAACACAGCCTTTTCTCCCCCTCCTCCCACGAACCTCTCGCAGGAGACTCCAAAATTCAGCCGTCCTCAGCCGGGAGAATCCATAAATAAATCAAAAAACACCCAAGAGCCTTGAATCTGGTTTTTTTTTTTTTTCTTCCTTCCTCTCTCTGCTGGTAGTGGTGATTTTTTTTTTCCTCCTTCGTAGCTTAGCCAGTCAGGGCCTTCACTGTGCACAATGCAGTGATTAGCTGAATGTGAACCTGTAGGAGGTAGACAGCCCAGGGTTGTGCAGGCCGGCTCCTCTTTTTTTCCAAGTCCTGCACCCCAGCACGAGAGAGAGAGAGAGAGAGAGAGAGATTCCAATGTTCCTAAATCCGGGTGGTTTTTCTTAAAATCCGCCGAAGAAAACTCTCTTCACTTGGAAGGCTCGCAGTGTGAACTCCCTCAGTGTATGTATGACGTGTTCTGTCTTCTTAAATCAGAGCTGAGAGAAAGAGAACTAACATTCCTAAGGGCTCGTTTCCGGTTGGCCAGGTCAAGCCATAGAAGGCCTGCTTTGGCGTTGGTCGTGCCCACCCAGTTCCTCCCGTTCAGTTCCTGCTGCCCCTTGCCTGCTGCTTCCACCGCCCTCCCACCGGCGCCTCCCCGTAAGGCTTGGCGCCCAGGGCTAGCAGAGGGCCTATCCCCAGCCCAACCAGCAGAGGGCGCAAGCTCCCCACACAAGGCGGCAGCTCTCTGACCGAGGCCCTCCAGCGAGGTTCACTGCGGTGATCCTTCTGGGGAAGCCTGGAGGGGGGCAGGCTTGAGGGTGGGCCACGTCTGAGGGGCTGAGACCAGGGCTGGGTGGGAAGCAGTAGGGCCCTGCAAGCCAGCATTAGAAGCCAGGGGCGCCCAACTTTTAAGACCTTTGGACCTCCTCCGCCCCCAGAATGGGGAATTCTGGGAGCGGAAGTCCAAAGGTCTTAGTGGAGAGTTGGACACCCCTGCTCTGAGTGAGCGCTACGAAGCAGGAGGCCCAGCTCCGTGAGGATGCCAAGAGGGGGGGGCTGAGATCCAGAGCGGGGCCAAGGACGGGATGCGATGCCCTTCCTCTCCCCTCCCTCCCCACCCAAGTCTGCCTTTGCTCGGGGAGAGCAGCACCTGGTGCCCCAGATGTGATGGGAAACTGCTCTCATCCCCTCTCCCCAGATGCCGGGTTGGGTGGGGATGATGGGTGTGGGCGTTCTCAAGCATCTGGAGGCGCACGCGTGGCCCAGGTGGAGCCCCCAAGCTGATTAAGAGAGGCAGCAAGGGAGCTACGTTGAAAACACGAGGAGGAGGAGGAAGAGGAGGAGGTGGTGGCACCCTGGCTGCCCCCGTGGGCAGGAGCCCCCCCCCAAGATCTGCACAGGACAGTTGGGCCGTTAACCAGGATTTTTGAGTGTCGAGTACAGCCTGCCTCTGGGCGGTTCTTGTAAGGTCTCCAGGTGCCCCCTCCCGCCAGAGGCCCCCCCTCCTCCTCCTCCTCCCTGCCACTTCCTGCCCTGAGCTTTGCATGTGTGGACGGTGCCCGAGGGGCAGCGCGCTCCCTTCCTCTCCGGCTAAGGCCTTTCTCCTTCTGCCTTCTTCTCTTGTCTGTTTCCACCCCTCCCTCCCTCCCTCCCCTCCTTGCTTGGACCCTGTCCAGGTTCCGGTCCAAGTACCACCCTGAAGAAGCCGGGCGACGGAAGCAGGAGGCCCAGAACGCTCTCCAGAACCGACTCAATGTCTTCCTCTACCTGATGGACAACGGCTGGTGTGAGGGCCTGCAGCTGGACATTGACAAGGCCAACGCCATCATTAAGGTCCTGGATGCCGGTAGGTGGCTTCCTCGCCCAGAGGCGGCGGGGGGGGGTGGCCGGAAGCCCAGGGGGGTGGCCGCAGCAGAAAGAGCAGCGCTTGTTCATGCCTTGGTGACGGAGGGCCCTCCTCCGGGTCGGAGGGCAGTAGAGTTGGGCCCCGTGCCTTCCTGGGGGCTTTGAGGGAGGGCGGAGGGCCAGCTGCGTCTCGGTGGAGGAGTCGTGGCTCTCCTGGGTCTCCGTCCGACGACGCGCGGCTTGCTTCCCCAGCGGTCATCAAGATGGAAGGCGGGACAGAGCACGACTTGAAGGTCCTGGAGCAGGAGGAGGAGGAGGAGCGCCCGGAGAAGGCGGAGCCAGGGAAGAAGGAGGAGAACCGGCTGCCCGAGCAGGAGCGGAAACTCTCCGAGAAGGAGGAGAAGAAGGAGGAGGCCAAGAAGGCCAAGGTGGGAAGAGAGGGGAGAAGTCCTGGGGGGGGGGCAGGCCTTCTCCCACCCCCCCAGCCCTGGTTGAGCACCAGGCCGGTCTCTGACGGGCAGCCCCCCCCTCTCTCGCAGACCGCCGAGGAGGAAGCTGTGGAGAAGAAGCCCAAGGAGGAGGAGGAGGAGGAGAAAAAGGGGGAGAAGAAGGAGGAGCCAGAGAAGGACCCAAAGAAGGTAGGTGGGGAGGGGTCTCTCCACCCCCGTTAGACCGCCAGACCTGCACGCATGCAAGGGAGAGAAGCAGAAGAGGGAGACAGGGTGAGGTCGGGCATGTTGAGGGAGAGAAATAGCCTGGTGTGTCCCAGGACCACCCTCTGAAGGGACAAGAGGAGGAACACCTGCAGGCCCTCCTGGTTTCCAGCTCTTTTGGGGTGGGGGGAGCAACAGGAACATGGGAACACACAAACACACACACTGCATCCTCCAGCAGAGAGGTGGGCCTGTGGCAGCCTCCCTCCTTCTCTCCCTTCCTTCCTTCCTTCTCTCCCTTCCTCCCTCCCTCCCCTTCCTCCTCTTCTCCCTCCCTTCCTTCCTTCCTTCTCTCCCTTCCTCCCTCCCTCCCCTTCCTCCTTCTCTCTCTTCCTTCCTCTCTCCATCCTTTCCTCCTCTCCCTCCCTTCCTTCCTTCTCTCCCTCCCTCCCTCCTCTCCCTCCTTCTTTCCATTCCTTCCTTCCTCCTTTCCTTCCTCCCTCCCTCCCTCTCTTCCTCCTCCTTTCCCTTCCTTCCTTCCTCCCTTCGGCTCCCTTCCTTCTCCAACCTTATTAACCTCCCACCTTCCTCACAGAGGGGGCCCCAGTGTGCCCATGGGGGGGGGAGGGTCTTTGGCCCCGAGGAGGCGCCAGGGCCCACGTCCTGTTCTTTCCAGACCAGCCACAAGCACAAGCGGAAGCGCAGCGGGAACGACAGCTACGACGAGGGGAGCGTTTCGGAGTCCGACACCGATTCTGAGAGCGGGCGCCCCCAAGGAGAGGAGAAAGGTGAGGAGAGGCTCTCGGGCGGGGGTCCCGGGCCCCGGACGGAGCGGCCTGGTTTTTTAAGGCGGCGGCTGTCTTCTGTGTGGCCACAGACAAGAAGCCCAAGGAGGAACCGGCCGGCCCGAAGGACGGGGAGGGGTCCCCCAAAGGCAAGGAGAAGGAGGGGGAGCCCAAGCCTCGCGCCCTGCACAAGACCTGCTCTCTCTTTGTGCGCAACATCGCCCCCAACATCCCCCAGGCTGAGATCGTGGCGGTGAGTGCGGCCCTGGGGGGGGGAGGGGGAGGGGGAGGAGGAGGCCGGGGCAGGCGGGACGGGCAACGGGATTGGGCCTCCGTCTCAACAGACGCACCTTTTCTGCTCCCCCAGTTCTTCAAAAGGTACCCCGGCTTCATGAGAGTGGCGCTTTCAGACCCTCAGCCGGAGCGGAGGTAAATTGTCATCTCCCCAACACACCCACACACACACACACACACACACACACACGTGAGATTTTTAAGTTTGGGCCAAGCTTTATGGACGCAGTGAATATTTGTGCAGAAATAAATTCTTTCCAGGCAGGGCGCTCGGCTGCAGCTCTGCCCTCTTATTCTAGAAAAGCCTCCCCAGGGGATAAAAGGCTCAGACCGGGAATAAAATACGACTGTAACTGGGCATCCAGTTCCTTTTACAGAAAGGGAGGGAGGGAAGGAGGGGGGAAAGAAAAGGAAAGAAAAAAGAGAAAAGGAAAGAAAGAGAGAGAAAGAAAAGGAAGGAAGGAAAGAAGGAAGGAAGGAAGGAAAGAAAGAAAGAGAAAGATATTATAAATATTTTAAGAATAAAGAAGCAAACAATCTTAAACCAAGCGTTAAATAAAACTGGAATATGCTTTTAGAAGAAAATGAAAGGAAGGGAGAGAGAGAGAGAGAGAAAGAAAGAAAGAAAGAAAGAGAAAGAAAGAAAGAAAGAAAGAAAGAAAGAAAGAAAGAAAGAAAGAGAAAAATGTTTCCTTGGTCATTTCTTAAAATCCAGAAGGGGAGGAACCCAACTCAGCTGCCTGACTTTGCGAGGGGCCGGGTCCTCAGCACCCCTTCCCTCACTGAGCAGCACCCAAAAAGCCTCCCTGGGAGGGAGGGGGAAGTGCAGGCCCCGCCCCCTTGCAGAAGGGGGGAGGGGAGTTGCCTCTGGGACTGACGGACAGTCTCCCCTCTGAGTGGCTGTTTTCGTGTCTCCAGGTTTTTCCGCAGGGGCTGGGTGACCTTCGACCGCACCGTCAACATCAAGGAAATCTGCTGGAATCTCCAGAATATTCGGGTAAAAGAGGGGGGGGCACGGAGGGGGAGCAGCGCAGGCTGCCCTCGGCGCCCCTGGCCTGACCCTCAAAATCAGCCCTTCTTTCCCCCCACTTGGGCGGGCAGGGCAGGGAACAGGGCCTGGGCTGTGGGTTAGACGGGCCCCTGTGCGAGATTGGGGAGGGGGCTGTCAGCCTCACCAACGCCTCCGCCCCCTTGGCCTCTTCTTCCCCCCCCCCCCAGCTGCGAGACTGTGAGCTGAGCCCCGGCGTCAACCGGGACCTCACCCGCCGGGTCCGCAACGTCAACGGCATCACGCAGCACAAGCAGATCCTGCGCAACGACATCAAGCTGGCGGCCAAGCTGATCCACGCCCTGGACGGCCGGACCCGCCTCTGGGGGGCTGGCGAGGAGGCCCAGCTGCCCACCCCGGTCTCGGTGAGTCTCTGGGAGGCCTTGGGGGGGGGTCATCGTCAGACAGACAGTCCTCAACGTACGACCACAATTTCCATCGCTAAGCGAGGCGGTTGTTAATGAGTTTTGCCCCGTTTTCCCACCTTCCGTGCCACGGCGCCTAAGTGAATCGCTGCGGTTGTTAAGATAGTAACCCGGTTGGTAAGTGAACCTGGCTTCCCCGTGGACTTTCCTTGGGGGATCATGTGATCCCAGGACGCTGCGGCCGTCATAAGTATGAGTCGGTTGCCAAGTGCCCGAATTTTGATCACACGACACGGGGACGCTGCAACGGTCGTACGTGGGAATAATAATCGTCATAAGTCAGTTTGTTGTAACAAACTGTTGTAAGTCGAGGACTGCCTGCACAAGGACAGGATCTCTGCCCGCGGGAGGGGGCTGCGGCGGTGGCAGTTGCAGCCGGACCGAAGCTCCGGAGGGGGCGGGGCTGCCCCTCACCCTGTGCCCCTCCCCCTCAGAACCTGCCCTCCCAGAACCCCATCCTGAAGAACATCACCGACTACCTGATTGAGGAGGTCAGCGCGGAGGAGGAGGAGCTGCTGGGCCGGAGCGGGGAGCCCTCGGAGGAGGCCCCCAAGGAGGGGAACCCGGCCGAGATCACGGTGGAGAGGGACGAGAAGCTGGTCAAGGTGAGCCCCGCCCAGGAGGGTCAGGGATGGCCGTCCACCCCCTCCCAGGGGGGGCCCCGGCAGGTGGCTGAGCCTCTCTCCCTTTGGGGCCCCCGGCAGGTGCTGGACAAGCTGCTCCTCTACCTGCGCATCGTCCACTCGGTCGACTACTACAACACCTCCGAGTACCTCAACGAGGACGAGATGCCCAACCGCTGCGGGATAGTCCACGTGCGGGGCCCCATCCCCCCCAACCGCGTCACTCACCGCGAAGGTACCTCTCGCGCCTGACCCTCTACCCGTCAGTCCCGTATCCCGGACGGACCCCCCTCCGCTCTGCGGCTGCTTTTAGAAAGACGCAACGGCAGTCCTCGGCTTAACGACCGCTGTTGTCGCAGCCAGAATTTCTGCGGCTGTTAAGGGAGATGCACCTGATCCTACAGCCTTTTTTTTTTTTTAACCACAATTGGGTCAGCCAAATCGCTGCGGTCGGTAAGTGGATCCAGCCCTCGTTGAACGAGTCGGGCTTCCCCCGTCGATTTTGCTGGCCGGGAAGGTTGCAAATGGCGGTCAGGTGGCCCCGGGACGATGCAGCCTGATGCAGACATGCCGGTTGGCAAGTGCCCAAATTTTGATCATCCACAACGGCCGCAAGTGCGAGGACGGCAGTAGATCCTTTTTTCGGTGCCGTTGTAACTTTGAATGGTCGCTGAACAGAGGGCAGTTAGCAATAGCCCTTAGACTTATATACCGCTTCACAGCGCTTCTTTGCAGCCCTCTGAGCGGTTCTTGCCCCCCCCCCCAACCATCTGGGTCCTTGGTTTACCCACCTGGCAAGGTTGGAAGGGTCTGAGCCAGCCTTGAGCCGGTCGGGATCGAACCGCTGGCAGCCGGCCGTGATTTAGCCGTCGGCACCGCTGCCTTCTAACCGCCGCAGCCCCAGGGCTCTTGGGAAGAAGTCAGGGACTCCCTGCAGCGCATTCCGCCTCGGGTGGGGAAGGGGAGTGGGGCTGTGGAACCCAGCTCCTGTTCCCGTCCGAAAGGCCCCCGGCCCCAACCGGGGTCTGCGGCCGGAATTGGAATCTGGCCCTCTTCTGCCCCGGTGGGTGGTGCGGTGGTGGGGGCTTTGGGTCTGGGGTGGGAGCGACCGGCCAGACGTTGGCGCTGGCGGACTCTGGACCCCCGGACGGGCCCCTTGCCTTCCCAGTGGCCGAGTGGCAGAAGACCTTTGAGGAGAAGCTGCAGCCCCTCTTCAGCGTCCGGGAGTCCCTGTCGGAGGAGGAGGCGCTCAAGATGGGCAAGAGGGACCCCGAGCAGGAAGTGGAGAACTTTGTCACCGCCAACACGCTGGAGCTGGGCAAGGACAAGTGGCAGTGCCCACTCAGCGGGAAGAAGTTCAAGGTGCGCCTTCTTCCCCACCCCCTTCCCCGGGACTCCGGTCCCCTTCCAGGCAGCCTGGCTCCTGACACCCCCTCCTCCCTCTGTCCCCCCCCCCCCCGCCAGGGCCCCGAGTTCGTGCACAAGCACATCTTCAACAAGCACGCCGAGAAGATTGAGGAGGTGAAGAAGGAAGTGGCCTTTTTCAACAACTTCCTGATGGACGCCAAGCGGCCGGCCGTGCCCGAGTTCAAACTGAACCAGACACCCGTCCCTGGGCAGGGTGAGTTGGGGGGGGAGGCCTTCGGGTCCCTGCCGGAGTTCTGGGAGTGGGCGAGCCCTCCCCTCCCCAGCCAGCCCCACATCTGGACGCCGCAGCCTCTGCTCTCAGCACATGGGGCAGCCTAGAAGAGGGGCGAGGAGCAGGCTGGGAGAACGGCCCCTCTGCCCGGCTGGTTCCTCCCTCCCCGGTCACCTCCTTGCCCCCGAGGGTGGCTTTGCTGGCGCTCCTCTGGCAAGGGCCAAACGCCTCCCTTTGCCCTCCTTAGGCCTGGCCCCGGGGCTGCCCTACCCACCGCAGGCCCCCCAGGGACTGATGCCCTACGGACAGCCACGCCCGCCCATCCTGGGATACGGAGGTACGTGGGGCAACTCCCCTCCTGGGCAGCGGAAGGCAGGGTGGGTCTCGGAGGGGCTGTGGCCCACAGACCCCTCCCCTAGTGGGCGTCCCCCAGAGAGGCTGGACTCCGCGCCCAGGGCCCCACGGAGAGGACACTAACGTGGGCAGGGCTGCGAATTGGGTTCGGGGCCACCAAGTCTGGTGTACTTAAACACACGGCTCTGGAGTTTCCATCTATTATATGTAGTAGGTGTTTTGTCCAGAAAGGTGTAGAACAGGGGTCTTCAAACTTGGCCACTTTAAGACTTGTGGACTTTAACTCCCAGAATTCCTCAGCCAGCCCTGAGGGCTGGCTGAGGAATTCTGGGAGTTGAAGTCCACAAGTCTTAAAGTGGCCAAGTTTGAAGACCCCTGGTGTAGAATCTGGACTAGGTGATCTCCAAGGTCCCTTCCAACTTCTCTAGTTATTCCCATAGTTTCTCCTTGTCTCTTCCAGGTGGTCCTCCCTACCCCCCAGCTCCATATGCCGCCGGGCGGGGCAACTACGACACCTTCCGAGGCCAGGCTGGCTATCTGAATAAACCACGGAACAGGTAGCTACAGGGAAGCCTTCCCGTCCCCTCTGCGAGGGGCAGGGCTGGGTCCCGAACCTGCGTGGGGCGGGAGGAGTGGGCCGCTCACCCCCTGTGGCCCTACAGTCCGAGGCTGCATGAAGAGGGGTAGAATCCAGATCATGTGAAGTGTTAGTTCCACTTTATAAAGCCTTGGTGAGACCCCACTTGGAATAACGGATCCAGTTTTGGATGTATTCTATTCTACTCTACTCTACTCTACTCTACTCTACTCTACTCTACTCTACTCTACTCTACTCTACTCTACTCTACTCTACTCTACTCTACTCTACTCTACTCTACTCTACTCTACTCTACTCTATTATTCTATTCTATTCTTTCTTCTATTCTATATTGTATTCTACTCTGTTCTATTATTATTTCTTATTCTATTCTATTCTATTTTATATTCTATTTTATGTTCTATTCTATTCTGCTATTCTATTCTATTATTCATATTCTATTCTACTCTACTCTATTATTATTTTTTATTCTATTCTATTCTATTTTATATTCTATTCTATTTTATGTTCTATTCTATTCTGCTATTCTATTATTCATATTCTATTCTACTCTACTATTATTATTATTATTCTATTCTATTCTATTTTATATTCTATTCTACTCTATTATTATTTCTTAGTCTATTCTATATTCTATTCTATTATTCTTAGTCTATTCTATTATTCTTAGTCTATTCTTATTCTATTCTACTCTACTCTACTTTATACTCTACAAGTATTAGTACCACTTTACAAGGCCTTGGTGAGACCCCACTTGGAATAACGGATCCAGTTTTGCTCACCACGATAAAAAAAAGATGTAGAGACTCTGGAAAGAGTGCAGAGAAGAGCAACAAAGAGGATCAGGGGACTGGTGGCCGAAATGTTCAGAGAGCAGATGCAGGAATTCAGTAGGTCCAGTTTAATGACATGATTGGGGTGTTCCAATATCTGAGGGGCTGCCCCAAAGAGGAGGGGAGTTTCCACCTGTTCCCCAAAGCCCCTGAGGCCCAGGACAGGAAGCAACGGATGGAAACTGATCAAGGAGAGAAGCAAGCTGGGACTAAGGAGAAACTTCCTGACTGTGAGGACAATTAGCCAGTGGAACAACTGACCACCAAATGTTGTGGGTGCTCCATCACTAACGGCTTTTAAGAAGAGACTGGACAGCCACTTGTCCGAAAGGGTGTAGGGTCTCCTGCTTGATCAGGGGGCTGGACTAGAAGACCTCCAAAGTCCCTTCCAACTCTTGTTATCCTTCCTTCCTTCCTTCCTTCCTTCCTTCCTTCCTTCCTTCCTTCCTATTGGACAGCCACCTGTCTGAAGTGGTATAGGTTCTCCTGCTTGATCAGGGGGCTGGACTAGAAGACCTCCGAGGTCCCTTCCAACTCTGTCATTCTCTTCCTCCAGGATGGTCCGAGGAGACCCTCGCGCCATTGTGGAATACCGGGACCTGGACGCCCCCGAGGACGTGGACTTCTTCTGAGCCCCCCCCACCTAGGCTTCACGTCCTCCCATCCCCCCTCCCTCGCTTTTTTTTTTAAGAACCCCATCCTCCCGCTCGCCCCTTCCCATGTGTGTGTGAAGCCAGGTCAGCACCGGGGTCGTCAAGACCCCCGTCCGCCGGTTTTATGTGTTTAGCTGTGTTTCGATTTCAATAAAAGCCCCTCCTTTTCCCAGGCGCTGTTTGCTCGCCGTTATCTTGTGGGTCCGTGTGCGAACGCAGGCCTCCCTGGCCGGGTGCAGGTGTGTCTTGAAGCTGCACCCTGCTTCCCCCCCCCACTCTGCTGAGGGTGCTTGGGAATGGAGGCCGCTGAGCAGAGCCCCCGTGAGAAGTTGTGCATCTCTCGTTTGTGTGATTTAGATAGGAATCGCATGTTTTTCCTCGCTCCCTGGTGCACACTGGATCGTTGGAACACTGGCTTGCAATGTCGAACATGGTCTAGACCAGGGGTAGTCAACCTTGGCTCTTTTATGACTCGTGGACTTCAACTCCCAGAATTCCTGAGCCAGCTTAGCTGGCTCAGGAATTCTGGGAGTTGAAGTCCACGAGTCATAAAAGCCAAGGTTGACTACCCCTGGTCTAGACTAGAGCAGCAGTGGCGGACAATGGCCCTTTGTAAGACTTGTGGACTTCAACTCCCAGGATGCCTGGTCCAGCCATGCGGGCTGGGGAATTCTGGGAGTTGAAGTCCACAAGTCATAAAGGGGCTGAGGTCAGACAATCCTGTTTTAAATGAATAACTACAATCTGGAAAGGCATCAGAAGTTGCTTCTCCTGCGATGAGCTCAGAAGTGCTCGTTTGCTTCCTTCCTTCATCGACTTAATTGATGGTTATGACACCATGGGCATCTTGGCCTCCACTCTGGCGCGGCTGGCTGGGGGATTCTGTTGAAGTCCATAAGTCTTAAAAGTTGCCAAGGTTGGACTCTATAGAGATTACAAGCACCTGCAAGCATTCACACACACAGCCACACCGGCTTGGGATACTTTTTAATAACAGAATATGGAGAACCGGTTTTGACAAGCACGAGTCTTGGCGGGTGCCATTGCCTTTCCTGGATCCCGTGCCGAAGCCGCAGCCACTCAACCCCAATCCGACCTGGGCCAAGGAAGGCGCGTCGTGGGCACAACTGCTGCCGCGCTTACTTGGGCCACCCCTGCACGGAGCCCCTGAGCTCCTGCCACACTTCCTCTATCCTCTCCCTAGGGACCCCGTGGACCACCAGGGACCGCTGGTAGGTGGTGAGGTGGTCCTGCGTCTTCTCCCAGGTCCGGAAGTCTCCGTTGTGCTGATGGGGCAGCTGGGCAGCCAAGGCTAGGAAGCCCCAGTAGGCACCACAGAGAGGGAAGGTGGGCAACCAAAGGGAGGCCTGATAGAGGGCAGGCAGGGCGGCACCGGGCACCAGGAAGCCGTTTTCCGAGGCAAAGTGTGGGTAGTGGGCCAGGGGGAAGAACGGGACAGGGATGGCATCCCGCCCGATCCTCTTCACAGCAGGGTGGAAGTGGATGTAGCCGTGGATGAAGTGGGAGGCGTTGGGCGTCTGCCGGAGGAACTTCGTCAGGGCCGCGGGATTCACAAAAACATCTTCCTCTCCTGCAAAGCAAGACCACGCAGGCAGGCTGCCATTTCTCAGGCTGTGGTGGTTATAAAGCTGGCGCTCCCTACTGAGGTTCAGAGGGCCCCGGCGTAAGGAGGAGATGGTGCCAGGCTATAGGCTGTGCCCTCTGAAGGGGCTGCAAGCACGATGGCAGGGGTGTCCTGCCTTGGCAACTTTAAGACCTGTGGACTTCAACTCCCAGAATTCCCCAGCCAGCTTTTTTTTTTTTCTCACTTTACTGAAGGCAAGATATATTACATCTACTGCATTCCCGCTATCTATGAAGAAAGTTACTCTATCAAAAAAAAAAGCAATAAGGTAGTCTAGCCACATTTGTCCTATCCCTATTGTTCCAGGAAACCCTTGCTGTCTGGGGAATTCTGGGAGTTGAAGTCCACAAAGTTGCCAAGGTTGGACAGCCCTGGACTATGGGGGAATGCCTGAAACGTTGACCGTCAATGTTTTTCTCAACTTGGTTGACCCTCGCTGGACACACCCCTTGCTCAGCAGCACTGAACTGGGTTTGCCTCCGAAAGATGTGAGGAGCCCTTCACCCTCCCTGCAGGGTCTCCTGGGGGGGGGCTAACACAAAAACCCGCTCCCCTGCTACCCTGGGCAGCCTACCTTTGAAGATGAAGGCCGCCTCCTGGCAGTGCCCGTGCGCCCACCGGAGGAAGCAGCGTTCCTTGAGCGACAGGTTGTGGTGGGACTCCAGGAAATCCCACATCAGGATGTCGCCAAACACGCGGCTCTCCTGTGCCACCAGCTCCAGGTGCTTCTGGTTGAAGGTGGACCCCATGAGGAAAAGGGGCTGCAGCCGGAAGCCCCCCAGCTCTGCCGGCTGGGCCCAGGTGCTGCGCAGGGTGGCCCTCATGCCTCCAGACACCGGGTGGGATTTGATGGTCAGGAGCAGCAGAGGCACCCCGGAGGATCCCTGGCACAAGTCATCCCGGGCAATCACCTCCTGGCACCGGTAGAGCTGCAGGTGAGGGTAGTGGGCTTCGTAGCCGCTCCAGTTGAAGTAGAAGGTGAAGGTGCCGTCGGTCAGGGCTAAGGTGGCAGGCAGGGGTGGGGAAGGGAACCACTTCCTCACGGCAGACGAGACCAACAGGACAGCTGCCAGCCCCAGGCACCACTTCGACACGAAGACGTGGCTGAGTCTAGGAAACAAAAGCAGAATTGAGCCAAAGGAATTAATGCAAATGGGACTGAATCCCATCCTGGCAGGCCTTGTCAAAGAAGCCAGAAGTTGTTTTGCCCCTGAGATGCTGCCCCCAGCGCCCGGGGCCACTTTGGGCACCCAGTGCCCGTTGGAGGCAGCAGTGGCAGCTGGGAAGGCCAAGCCACATCTACACACACACGCACACCCTACCCCAGGCAGCAGGCAGCCCCCAAATCCTGCAAATGAAGTAACGAAGCTCATATCTTAAAACGACATTGCTGGACCCGACCGTCGGCCGGTTTGGATAGAAATGAGTTCGAACTTGTTCCCTTTTGAAACCGACGAACGGCAAACTTTCAAAATGACTTATGACTTTTGACGCATAGCAGCTCCTCTACAAACAAGGATCAAACTGACATTTCCAATTATTCACTGAGCGACGGTTAAAAACGTGACTATTTTATTTTATTTCATTTTTTTTTTCATTTCACAATTTTCATAGCCTGCCCCTACCCGGAAAGAAACTCGGGGAGGGCGGGGGCTACAGCAATGTCTACAGAGGGGTGATTAAAAGCAGAGAGGGTCAATAAATGTTTGGGACGTGGCTCAAGATCCCAAAACAAATTTGGAATTTCAGAAACAAAACTTTATTTGAAAAGAAGCATTTGCAAAGGCCTGGTACGCTGAAACACACATAGGAGTCCAGCCACATCTTAAAGAGCTGTTTGACACATTTTTATATCCTACCCCTGACACAGATTTTCCCCCCCCTCCTCTATTGCTCTTACACCCTTAATCCGGACTGCCTAAAACCATTGTCACTTGTGCACGTCTTCTCTATCACCATCTAACTTTCTGTTAACAAAGCTCGGCTCTTATACTTATTTCTGTATTTCCTCTGCTTGCGGTTTCAGTTAAGTAGCAACGTCTATTTACGGTATCTTCATTTGTGTAGAATTAACTTGTCTGAGTTTATGACTTTCGGGTGGCTTCTCCTACAGACGTTTAGATTCATTAGAAATTTCTGCTTAATAATCTCCTCCTGTCAATAACACACGGAAATTTAAAAAAAAAAAAAAAAAAAGACACATCCTGGAGCAATTCAATTGTGCGAACGTCACCTTTCATTGCCAAACTTAATCAACGGCCATTGCCAAACCCAAAAAGGCGGAGGAATTTTTACTTTAGATATCAACGGGAAAATGGTACCAGGCTTTAGAGAACAAGAACACAAACTGTTGTGTCTTTTGTAATAATCGCTGAACCGTGGCTGGGCTGAAAAGAGGGGTCACCCCTTGCAGGCACCAGAGACAACAATCCAGCCCCAGATATTTCTTTACAAGAGACTTCCACCCCCCACCCCCCCCAGGCCTTTGTAAATGGAGACAAGAACTATCGCTCGAGAGAGGCAGAATCCTTCTTCCCTGGATGTGCAAAGAAAATTATTTTTCTGCAAAAATGGGAGCTTGGCCTGCTCCCTGCCAGAGCCCTCCAACCTTCCCCGTCTCCCCCCTCCCCAAATTGCACCAGACCAGGTTGGGGGGCTGAGAGTGGGGCCCTTCGCAAGCGAGGCAGGCGGCTTTTAGGCCTCAGGCCTCAGGCCCCATGGCTGGCCAGCCTTTCCCCTTCGCCCCGGGGAAGCCAGCCAGACCCAAAGCACACCCAGCGGGACCCACTTCCTGGGGACCAGCCTCCTGAAGCACCTCCTGGGAGCCATCTTGGGGGAGGATCTCCCCAGAGAGCCCTCGCCCCCAACCAAGATGGCCGCAGGCAGGCCTGGCTGGCAGCCCAGCCTCGCCAAGCGGGGGACTCTGTTCTCCATCATCCAGCACACTGTGTGTGTGTGTGTGTGTGTGTGTGTGTGTGTGTGTGTGTGTGAGGGGAGCAGAGATGCAATGCAGCCGGGGGGGGGGGGGCATCATAGATGCTGAGTTTGCCCAGGCAGGAGTCCAACCCCACCCGGGGTGGGGGGCTCTGCAAGGCAAAAACCCTGCCCCCCAGATAGGGTTGCCAGGTCTGCTTCCAAAAAATAGCGGACAAGCGGGGGGGGGGGGTGTTAAGTAGTAAAAAAAGTAGACTGTACAGCTTTAGATTACGTACCATTTCATCATAAAGCTTTTGAATTAAAAAAACGTCCACTATTTTGTGAAAAAAAAATAGTGAACATCATGTGAAAAAAGTGGACTGTCCACTCAAATAGTGGACACCTGGCAACCCTACGCCCCAGATCAAATAGGGCTGCAAAAAGCACCCCCCCTGGTTCTGCTTGGCTCGCCTTGCCCCCCCCAGTGCCCATTTGGGGGACCCTTGGGGGGGCCAAGACCGTGGCAGTTTGCACCAGGAAGGGCTGCGTTCCTTCCCTGGGGGGGGATGCTCTAGAAAGGGGCTAGTTCCAGGAAGGGGGGGCAGCCCTACAGCTGGGGTAGGCACAGGAAACAATGAGAAAACTTGTGGTTGGGGGTGACAGGCATGGCCCAGGCCCAGCCTGAGACCAATTGATGGAATTAGCTGACTCCCCTCCTGGTGGGATGGAGGGCAGGCTGGGGGTAAGGAGGAAAGACCCCCGGAGGGGAGGCAGACCAGGCTACCTCAACCTCCCAGGGCTGGGTGGGATCCAATGCCAGGAACCTGGAAGGCCCCCTCGGAGGGCACCAGCATTTCGGGGCGAGGGAGGCTGCTGTAAACACGGCCATAGAGTAGGGGGCTGCCACACACACCCCATCTCTGCAAGAAGGGCCCTGTGGAATGGGGCAGCCCCCATCCACTCTCCCCACACTCTATGGACACCAGCCCCCTCCCCAGGATTCCTGCCTGCTCGCAGAGGCAGGTGGGGTCTGCCGCATTTCCCCTCCAGGAGACTCCTTTCCCTCCCTCCCAAATGACCCCATGGTATCTCTTGAGTCTGGGGGCGCTTACCCGCCTCCCCCTCCCCAGACCTCTCACAGGAAGGGCCCCGAAGTGCAAAACAGATGCTCTGGAAGTCCCCGTGTGCCCATGGCAGCTGGTGCAGAGGCTGCAGGCGTTGGCCAGGGCTTGCCCTCCCGACACACACACACACACACACACACAGTTGCAGAGAGCCCCACACAACCTTTCTCCTTGGGAAAAAGGGTCCCTCCGTCACTCTGAGCCGAGGGAATTCCCAGTTCTAAAAGTTGCAGCCAGACAGCCTGGTCCGCCTTGCGCTCCCTTCCCAAAGGAGAAATGCAGATTGCACGGCCAGGTACAGGAAGAGGGTGGGGAGAGCCCAGCACAGCCCCAGCAGGGATTTATTTGTCAGGTCTGCCACCTTCAGCTTCTTCGCTTTGCTGGCATCCTGCCATAAAACGCAGGGGGAGGGAGGGAGGAATTGGGCTAGTAAAGTTCCAGCAGGGAAATGATGATGATGATGATGATGATGATGATGATGATGATGATGATGATGATAATAATAATAATAATAATAATAATAATAATAATAATAATAATAATAATAATAATAATAATAATAATAATAATAATAATAATAATAATAAAAAGACTGTGGCAAAAGCAAGCAAGGGTAGTACCAATAGTAACAGGCGCCTTGGGTGCAATCCCAAAACAACTGGAGCACCACTTGGACACCATCATCGGCATTGACAAATTCGCCATTAGTCAATTGCAAAAGGCAGCCTTACTAGGAATTGCTTCCATCCTGCGACGAGATCCGTAATACCATCAAACATCCACATCTGCCTATCCCAGGTCCTGGGTAAGGACTCGATAGGTAGACAAAATGTCAAATCCAGTCTGAACATCTGGCTGATTATGCGATGATCCATGATGATGATGATGATAATAATAATAATAATAATAATAATAATAATAATAATAATAATAATAATAATAATAATAATAATAATAATAATAATAATAATAATAATAATAAAGTTGAAAGGGACCTTAGAGGTCATCTAGTCCAGTGGTTCTTAACCTGGGGGCGATTTCATTTTTCAGGGGGGTGATGGAATGAAAAGGGGCGACGCGGGGGCGAAGGAACGAAAAGGGGGCGATATGGGGGCGATGGAGCGAGAAGTTTTGGGGACACCTTTGAGACTTTTTCGTACAGTGAATCGCTGTATATCTGTCATACAAAAACATCAGATCGCTAGCTAGGAGTGGATTGAATTGTGTTTTCAAATGTTCCTCCAGCTAGCTTCAGTACAGAACGCCGTACATATGTGAAGACGCATCGCTTACCTTCATGCGCGTTGCGCAGCAGCCTCTACCCATACAGTGGCCCACCATTGGCCAGAATGGGCAGTGATGGAGGGGGGAGCGCTTCTTTCGAAACATCGCATGCTGAGTGGCTGTCCCCTGTGACGTCAGCTGTAATGTTTGAGTTTTCAGCTTTGTTTTCGAATTTTTGTTGTGCTCTGTAAAACATTTTGTGTGTCTCTTTGTATTGTACTTTTTTAGCGTGCACTCCAGTTTGATATATTTTCTTTGTGTCTTTTTAATCCTTTTTACAGTGTGCGTGACTATATATACTTTCCTCAAATCTTAATTTAGTTTCAGAGTTTTCGTCTTGAAATTCTTAGTTCCTGCATTGCGGTTTGTTCTTATGCCCTTTTTATATTTCTTTTTGCGTCTTAAATTTCACTTGTAATTCAATCATTAAATGTTACTGTTTTTCTTTTCGGGCATTTCACTTTCTTGCAATTGAATTTTGTTATCAGTGGTCATTACATTTAAGTGTCTTGAATAAATAAGATAATAATGAAATACATGTATCATGAAGTTTGGGAATAAAGTGCCGGGTGGCACCAAAAGTTTTCACACAGTTGAGATACGGGAAAAAGACTGGAAATAAACTATTTGCATCATATGTCCTGATGACAATTTTAAAGAAAACAAAAAAAAGTGTTTGCATAAATTGAAGAATTATTTTCTATGTTGTGATTGAGAGGTTATGTTGGGGGAGGGGGGTGATGAAAACTTCCTCATTGGCTCAAGGGGGCGATTTGTTCAAAAAGTTTAAGAACCACTGATCTAGTGCAACCCCCTGCTCAGGCAGGCGGGGAGAGAGTGGAGAAGAACCACAGGTGCCAAACCGGAACAAACCGGCCACCGAGGGCATCTGGCCTGGGAACAGAGTAAAAAAACTGCGTCGAGAGGCGCCAAGCGTCAAAGTGGCTCCCAAAACATCAAAACGGCATCCTATTGGACACTGATGGTCGGGGGGGGCAAGGAACGGGGGGGAGAAAAATTAAACCTTTGCACGTGAACACTCAGATCTAGCTTTATTTTCACTGCAACCACTTAACTTTAGTAAAAGAATCTGTCGCTTCAACCAAATGGAGTCGAGGGTCTTCCTTTCCTAATGGTCCGAGTTGGGGCAGGTCTGACAGTATGGTTAATTTTTGTAACAGACAAGGCCCAGAGGCCCACGGGGGTCTAGTTAATCCACCGGTCAGGGGAGGGGCCGGGAGGCCTGGTCCGTCTATAACCATTAAGAGGGGGTCCGGGGGTCCTCTCCAGCTGCTTCCACACCTCCTCGATCCTCTCCATGCTGACTCCGTGGATGCACACAGAGCGCTGGTAGGCCGAGAGCTCGTCCTTGGGGATGCCCCACACGCGGAAGGCCCCATCGTGCCGCTGGGGGATCTTGGCTGCCAGCGTCAGGAAGGCCAGGTAGACGTCGTCCAGGGGGAAGACGGGCAGCTCCAGAGAGGCCTGGTACAGGGCGGCCAGCCCCACCCGCGACATGATGAACCCCCCTCCGGAGGCAAAGTTGGGGTAGTGGTCCAGGGGGTAGAGGTCCCGTGAGACGGCATACTTGCCCCTCCGTATGACCTTCAAGTGGACCACGATGTTACCGTGGATGAAGTGGGAGGCGTTGGGCGTCCGGTGGAGGTAATCGGTCAGCACCTTGGGGTTCACAAACATGTCGTCGTCCCCTGAAAAGCAACGGGGTGTTTACTTCCAGGGAGGGTGGCAGATCGCCCCCTGAGCTGATCCTCGGGGTGCACACTCAAGCTTTTGGGGTCACCCCCACCCCCTTCCCAAAGGAACGGCGTCCAGCTGGAGCTTTCGGACCCTGGAATCCAAACCACCCAGGGGGGAGGGTCAGGAGGTCAAGATGGGGGCCTGCACACACACACACACACACCCCTTTTGACAGGTATTGCAGATTAAAAGGGCCGGGCCTTAATCGCCAGGTGCATCCGCCATCTTGGCTTTTGTGACACCCCCTCCCAGCAGGTAACTCTTCCCCCTGCTTGCCGGTGCCAGGTGGGGGAGGGATGTTCAGCGCGAGGAACGCATGAAGCAATGAGGCCGGCTGGCCACGCAGCGTTTTTAAATTTCCCTCCATGTCAAATAATAGTTCTAGTTCTATGTTGACCACACAATGGGAGTCCGTCTTCAACCGCCAGTCAGCCTTGGCAGGCACCATGAAGAGGGGGCAGAAAACGGGTGCCGAGAGACCTCGTGCCCCAGGCTAGCTTCAAGCAGGCAGGGTGACATCAGAGCAGGCAAAGAGAGCGTGGGATGTGTGACGGCGCACTGACAAAAGCCCAGCCTCAAGTGTGATGGAAGCTTAAGGCTTAGATTGCAGAGGGAGCAGATGAGATCAGGAAAGTGGTGAGACTCCAGAGAAAGGGCAAACAAGAGCAACAAAGACAATCAGGGGACTGGACGCTGAAGCACACAAAGAGTGGTTGCCGGAATTGGGCATGTCTGGTTTAATGACGAGAAGAAGGACCAGGGGGGACAGGATAGCAAGTCTTCCAATATCTCTGGGGCTGCCCCAAAGGAGAGGGGGTCAAGCTGATGGGGTTCCACGTGGAGCATTTCCTGGTCCACCAGCTCTGCCTCCTCTCCAAGGCCATGCCGAAGATGGCCAGCAACGGTTGTCTGAAACCCGGTCGTAAGTCACTTTTTCAGTTCAGTTCAAAACACAGGACGGCCTGTATTTGTGGGAAGGGAACCCCCCAGTCCCTGGAACAGCCCCCTCCCCAAAGGGTCCGCCTGAGAGGGATCAGGGAGAGGCATGGAGCCCCTTTTCCTCTTAAAGCTTTTGAGGTGGAAGCTTAGCAGGCAGTGAGGGGGTGCATGGAGGGGCTGGGCTGCTGCGGGGGGGGGGTTAAATTGGGGGAAGGAAGAGGAACTGAGGGTGGTGAACAGGACCCAGGGGACAGTATCAATATACAGATGGCCCCTCTGTCTCTGGTCACTTGTAGGCCTCTGAATGAAGGGTCATGAAAGAACAGCAAAGAAAGACGCAAATGTCCTAAACCCACCCAGCAACATCGGGCATCTTGGGACACCTACAACACTCAAGACTTGGGGAAACTCCCTCGAGAGAACATACTAGCTACTTCTGCTTTTCTTATCTACAGTGTGCCAGCCTTAAAGGGTGAAGTCTTAATCTTACGTGTGCCAGCCTAGCTGGGTGAATTGTTTATGTAACCAAAGTGACTATAAAAATAAGCTTTCTTTGCCATTTGGGGCTTTTGCATAGAAGCTAATCTCTATTCAGCTGAATAAACACGTAAACTTGAAGTCAACTTCTAGTTTCCTGTATTTCTTTAACCAGCAAAACCTCAGAACCTGCATATCAAAGGGGCCAAGAGAGGCCGGTAACCTGGAGGTGGGGGGGGCAGCTACGTGAAAGATGCTTGCAAGCAGCAGTTAACCATGGTGGCATCCTGGGTGAGTCTGTGAGCTGACAAACCTGCCTTTTGTCAGACTTCTCTCTCGGAAAAAGGGGCTGCCCATTTTTGGGACCTTGGGCCCTCAAAGGTAGGAGCACAGCTGGCTCAGGAATTCTGGGAGTTGAAGTCCAGAAGTCATAAAAGAGCCAAGGTTGCCTACCCCTGCTCTAGATGGACCCAGGCCTGCTTACCAGGTGGTGCCAATCAGCTTCCAGACCTTGCCTGCGCTGGGCTGAGCGCATCGTGTGAACGGAGCCCCCGTCGGGTGGCCCCCTGCCCACCTACCTTTGAAGACGAAGGCTGCCTGCTGGCAGTGCCCGTGCACCCACCGGAGGAAGCAGCGCTCCTTGAGCGACAGGTTGTAGTGGCACTCCATGAAATCCCACCTCAGGATGTCGCCAAACACGTGGCTCTCCTGCGCCACCAGCTCCAGGTGCTTCTGGTTGGAGGTGGCCCCCAGGAGGAAAAGGGGCCGCAGCCGGAAGCCCCCCAGCTCTGCCGGCTGGGCCCAGGTGTGGCGCAGGGTGGCCCTCCTGCCGCTAGACGCCGGGTGGGATTTGATGGCCAGGAGCAGCAGAGGCGCCCCGGAGGGACCCTGGCACAAGTCGTCCTGGGGAATCACCTCCTGGCACCGGTAGAGCTGCAGGTGAGGGTAGTGGGCTTCGTAGGCGCTCCGGTTTAAGCGGAAGGTGGACCAGTTTGGGACCAGCTGCTCCCTGTGCCAGCCCAGGAACAAGAGGATGAAAGTCAGGCTGCCCAGTGCCAGCCCGCAAAGTTGGCAAGCTCTGCGGACGGTGAGGTGAGGGAGGCGTGGGGGAGGCATGGGGGCGAGGAACCTGCGCCAAGCAAATTGAAAAGCTCCGTCGGAGGGGAAACCCAGAGCTCGGCTGGGCTGGCAGGGTCCCTCAACCGCCGCTTTCAAGTTGGCCGTCTGCTGCCCTCCTCCGAATGCGAGGAATAACATTTTAGTATAAAAAGCGAAGTTAAGTGACACGTACTCTGTAGGATTTCTACAGTAGGCTGTAAGATTTCTACACAAACATTTCTACACGTAGGCTATAGAATTTCCACACTAAGCTGTAGGATTTCATGGTAAAATACATATAAGGGAATAGGTCAGTGGTGGCGAACCTATGGCACGGTGCCAGAGAGGGCACTCAGAGCCCTCTCTGTGGGCACGCACGCACGCTGTCGCCCCAGCCCCGCCACCCCCCATGGCCCTCTCCTCAGCAGCAGCCCCCCCAGAGGACAGTCACCCGGGGCGCAGCCTGCACAGAGCAGCGCAGCCAAGGATATGGCAGCCGGGCAACGGGGACAAGACTCTGCCCTCGTGCCCCATCGCGTACAGATGATGCTGTGGGGTGCGGACAGAGGGCGTGGCCGCCATGACGCTGCTGGACCGCCTGGGTGATCTGTGGTGGGCCATGGAGGTGGTGGGTGGCCCACGGGCAAGAGAGGAGGGGCGGGGCAGGGGCGAGGCGGTTTTTGGGCACTCGGTCTGTAAAAGGTTCGCCATCACTGGAATAGGTGAAGCAAAATAGTAAGGGG